ACGAGAGGAAATGGCCTTAAGTTGTGCAAGGAGAGGCTTAGGTTGAATATTAGGAAAAATTTCTTCACTGAGAGAGCTGTCAAGCATTGGAACAGGCTGCCCAGGGAGGTGGTTGAGTCGATTTAAAAGACGTGTAGATGTGGTGCTTAGGGACGTGGTTTAGTGGTGGACTTGGCAGTGCTAGGTTAATAGTTGGACTTGGTGATCTTAAAGGTCTTTTCCAACCTAGATGACTCTATAAAAAGCATTTAAAAGAAATGAGAAGTATTTGGTATGAGGCACAAAATTTACATGAGCTGGAAAGAAGAAAACAAAATCACTAACAAGCCCAGAGTCAGGAAATTTACTTGCTAAATGACAGTCCCTACTTCACGTTTTTATTGAGTGTATATTTTAGAAAATGAGTTTTCTTTTTTACTGTTCCAGAGCTGAACAGTGTTGGTTTCCTTTCACTTAAGCATAGAAAATCACCTCTTTTCCAATGTACCTAGAGAGCAACTGCTTGAGTTGGTTCTGGCTTGAGCCTCTTTGCTCTGTGACAACTCACTTCCTTAAATGTACAGCTCTGTTGCAAAATGCCTCCCCCAACCACCACGTGTTTTCAGTCTAACAGCTAGGCATGTCCCCATAGGTTCTCTCCCCAGATTGGGGCAGTGAGCACCCATAATTTGTTATAATGCATAGTATAGGTAAATCTGTGCTGATTCTCTCTGTGCTGCAGGACATCTGAAGAAGAATAAGATCTGATATGTACCCTAGTTATGTGGCAGGCTGAGTTTAGCACAGTGTGTTATTTTAGTCTGAGTGTAGGGGTTTCTTTATTTTAGTTTATCTAATCTGCGTGGGTGTCACAGAGTCTACAAAAAACCCATACAGACCTACTCATAATCTGATATGATGGAATACTGAACCTGGGTTTGTATTTCACATAGACAATGACATAGACACTTAGACATAAACAATTTTAAATCCCACCGCATGGATAATTTAGCTCCCTCCCTATAATCTTGGTGCTTAACTTCCTGAAAATGTTCATAGGTTCACTGTTTTTTTTGGTGTGTATGTATTCTTTTCCTCTTCATCTTAGTGCACCGAGTTAAATGAGAAGCTAGACCTATTGCTCCAGGCTCTTCACATAGAAGCCCAGGCTGCTCCCATTCTCCCAGGCATCGCTCCCCCCATTGTGGAAGAAGAGGCAGAGGAGTTTTCAAGTGAAGAATCCTTGTCTGAAAGTAAAGAGCAATTAGCAGAGTGTGTCTCAAAGTCTTCCACCCAGAAACTCTTCAAACCGAGGGAACAGTTAATGCTCCGGGCAAACAGCTTGAAGAAGGCTGTGAGGCAGATCATTGAACAAGCAGAAAAAGGTGCACATCAGCAACATTCTGATGCTTATTGATAGAATAATGATGTTGTGTTTTTTTTTTTTCAAACTAGCATAAATTTTCATTATTAAAGCTTGATTTCTACATTCTTACATAGGTAAAATTATGTGCTTATTACAAGCTGCAAGGAAAAGAAATGCATCTTGTTTGTGTGTTGATGACTATCTGTGTATATGAATACATATGTATGCACATGTGTGCACATATACAAGTGTGTTTCTTTTCTAACTATTATTCTTCACAAAATGAAAATTTCTGGCAGTAGATCTCTATCAATGGGCAAAGGATAGCTAGACTCTTTCACTGAATTGGCAGTAGAAATCTTTTGTTAATATTTTTCAACTGAAAGTTAAAGCTACAGAAAAAAAGAAGGTAATTTTCCAGTTTTGCAGATTTTATTTAAAGTTCTTGAAACTTTCTGTCTTTTTTTTTTAATAAGCAGTTGTGGATGAGCAGAATGCTCATAGTGAAGAACAAGTGAACCAGTCCCCACTAGAATATAGCAAAGAATTGGATGAATCCAAAGAAGAGGAAAAAGAAGAAGATACAAAGGAACTTGAGTCTCCATCAAGTGAGTACATTAGGAATAAAATAATTTAAAATTATGGTGTCTCCTTATAGTTGTATTACAGAGTATAGTTGACTGCGTAATAAAAAACACTAGCATGTTGTTTCACTGGAAACTAGTCACAATTTTTAATAGATTTGGATAAAGAAAAGTTAGGGAAAAATGTGAGAGACAAGATGAACAGTCTTTTGGAATAGATTCACAAAGCTGAGAAGGTATTTCTTGGGGAGAGAAGTGCCTGCATTTAATCTAGCATTTACATTTGCCTTTCTACGTGAACCTGAGCAGAGACTAGAGCCTAGGTAATGGTGGCAATAGCTTGTCTCAGTTGTAGTCATTTTAGGCCATATTGTAGGAAGTTCTGTCAGTCACTTCTGTTGAAGGGGTTTCAAATTCTGTGAAACACACATATTTGTTCATTGTATTGACAACAAAACCCTGATGTCTCAGCTGGGAACTTACCTTGAAACAGTTACTGGAATGGAGAAAATGAATATTTAAGTCTTCTGTATGAAGTGGAGCAGCGTAAAGCAGGAAAGAATACAATAGAAACTGGAGCATGGAGGTCTCCTGAGGAGTCTCCCACAACATCCTTCTCTCTAAATTGGAGAGAGATGGATTTGATGTGTGAACTGTTGAGTGGATGAGGAATTAGTTGGATGGTTGCATCCAGTTGGTTGGTAGTGGCCAATGGCTCAATGTCCAGATGGAGATTGGTGACGAGTGGTGTCCCTCAGGGGTCCATACTGGGACCAGTGCTCTTTAATATCTTCATCAATGACATAGACAGTGGGATCAAGTGCACCCTCAGCAAGTTTGCAAATGACACGAAACTGAGTGGTGCGGTTGACAATGCCTGAGGGATGGAATGCCATCCAGAGGGACCTGGACAAGCTCGAGGAATGGGCCCATGTGAACCTCATGAGGTTCACCAAGGCCAAGTGCAGGTTCCTGCCCCTGGGTCATGGCAATCTTTGGTATCAATACAGGCTGGGGGATGAAGGGATTGAGAGCAGCCCCTGCCAAGAAGGACTTGGGGATACTAGTGGATGAAAAGCTGGACTTGAGCTGGCAATGTGCGCTCATAGCTCAGAAGGCCAACTCTACCCTTGGCTGCATCCAATGAAGCATGGCCAGGGAGGTGACTCAGCCCCTCTACTCCAGTCTGGTGAGACCCCACCTGGAGTCCTGTGTCCAGCTCTGGAGCCCTCAGCACAGGACAGACATGGACCTGTTGGAGCAGGTGCAGAGGAGGGCCCCCAAAATGATCGGAGGGATGGAACACCTCTCCTGTGAGGACAGGCTGAGAGAGTTGGGGTTGTTCAGCCTGGAGAAGAGAAGGCTCCAAGGACACCTTAGTGTAGGCTTTCAGTACTTCAAGGTGGCTTATAAGGAAGCTGGGGACAGACTTTTTAGCAGGGCTTGTAGCAATACAACAAAGGGTAATGGTTTTAAACTAAAAGAGGGCAGATTTAGACTAGGTCTAAGGAAGATGCTTTTCCCAATGAGTGTGGTGAACCGCTGAAACAGGTTTCCCAGAGAAGTGGTAGATGCCCCATAGATCCCTGGGAACATTCAAGGTGAGGTTGGACGGGGCTCTGAGCAACCTGATCTAGTTGAAGATGTCCCCCCTCCTTGCACAGGGGGGTTGGACTAGATGACCTTTAAATGTCCCTTCCAACCCAAAAATTCTATGATTCTGTGATTCTAAGTGGCAGTACTAATGTCATCTCCTCTATTTGTCTAATCCAGAATGGAAATTTGAACCAGAGTCTTCAATATGCTAGAGCTCTTTCCCATGAAAAATTTCTTGTGGTGTTGTCCTAAACACAGGTCGTTAGTCCAACTAGTTCCTTGCAGATGTTTGCTGAAGAGCAAGCCATCTAGCAATCCACTATACCAAGCTACTCTTGCTTTCCAGGGTGTAGAGTCTCCTACCTGCTCTGTCCTTGTTGGGGTAGACCTCATCAGCTGCTGCTGTCTTCTGCTTCTGCTTTCCTGTAGGAGCCTCATTCTTTCCTCACTGTAAGGCTCTGCAGGTTACTCTCCAAAAAAAGGAAGATGGTGTTTATGTGTGGGTAGCCCATGCTGGGTTTTAAAATGCACAGAAAGAACCCAGTTGTATTATTGTGGTGGGTTTGACCTTGGCTGGATGCCAGGTGCCCACCAAGCTGCTCTATCACTCCCCTCCTCAGCAGGACAGTGAGGGGAGAAAATGAGATGGAAAAACCCCAGTGGGTCAAGGTAAAGGCAGTTTAATAGAGCAAAAGCCGTGCACAGAAGGAAAGGAAAACAAAAGATTTATTTTCTACTTCCCATCAGCAGGTGATGTCCAGCCACTTTGCGGGAAGCAGGGCTTCAATATGCATAGCGGTTGCTCCAGAAGACAACATCATAAGAAACCGTTAATGGCCCCCCTTCCCCCTCTTTTCTCTTAGCTTTTATTGCTGAGCTGATGTCATATGGTATGGAATATCCTTTGGTCAGTTTGGGTCACCTGTCCTGGCTGTGTCCCCTCCCAAGATCTTGACCACCCCCAGCCTACTGGTGAGAGACAGCCTTGATGCTGCGTGAGCACGGCTCAGCAGTACCCGAAACACTGGTGTGTTACCAACACCTTTCCAGCTGCCAACACAAAGCACAGCACTATGAAGGCTGCTGCGGGGAAAATTAACTCCATCTCAGCCAGACCCAATACAATTATTTGTATCAATAATTGTACAAAGCAATCAGAATATTGAGTGATCTGAGTTTAAAACAACTTGCTTGGAAGGTAGCATTTTCATAAAGTAATAGCCCATTTTGTCACCTAAGCTTTCCTTTTGGCTATTTAGTGTTTGGTTACTGTGTGTAAAATGATATTTAGAGTGTAGTCATCTCCTGAAATAGCATAGTACTAATTCCTGCATTCAAATGATAGCATAAAATCTCTCCTTCATGTGTCCTTTATGAAATCTGCCAGTGGAAGAAGGAAGGACGATTTGTCTATACAGGACACTCACTTACCTCCTCCCTTGCTTGCTTTTGGCACCAAGCCAATCCAGACAGTGGTCATGTTTGGACATTTCCCATCACAAATGTCAATGCTGCATTTTGTGTTGACTGGTAGTTCATGTGCCAGGGTTGTTCAAGAGTCTGAAGCTGTGTAGTAATTTTAGGAAAGTTGCTTCTTACTGTAGGTGGAAATTTCATTTTTTGCCATATTACCAAACTGGGCAGCCATGCACTGTGGGTGAGGTCTCGAGATAATCTATGAGTCATGGAGAAACAGTGGTAGCTGGAGGACAACAAAAGCCATCCTCTAGATATTTACTGAGCAACTTCCTGTGGCAAAATGAACAAAGTTGTTTGGGATTTGCATCTCCTTCCGTTACCCTAAGCCACACCAAAACCGTCAAAAGGTGTCCTCATGAGGCTCTGCTCTGAAGCTGGTGCCTGTGTTGGTAGCTCCTACCTTAGAAATACGTTTGTCTCTTGAGGCTTCTGTCGATTCAGAATATCACTTTCCCTTTTCTTCAGGAATGGATTTCAGACTTTCTCCAGTGATCGTCTTTTCGTTGGCCCCTCTCCTTTTACCTTGGTTATAGGAATCAGTGCTTGTTGGTTGTCCAGTTTCAGTAGTAGCTCATAGAGCATACTGGCCCTATGGATGACCCAATCCTACTGCCATAAATATATAATAGAATGAAAATATACACATATGTATAACCATATGTAGAAATAGTATAAACCCCTTGTTTCTTGGTGATATAATTTCTCTGTTTATTGGGGAGCTCTACCATTCTTCATACATCTGATATGTGTGAAATAGAGTGCATATCAGTGCTGCCAGTGGAAGATAAGTGTTTAGGGACAAAGCATGAAACATGAATTCAATTATCTGCAATGAAACATCAGTTTTACTCATTAGGGCTCTGTTGTTTTTATCAGAGCATGAACAGCAAAAGTTTATCTTTATTGCAGTTATCCCCATGAGTCTTATCTGTCAAATAAAGAGCAGCTGCTCTGTTGATTTTCCTCTTTAATATAACTGCCTTGTTCCCAAGTACAGAGAGAACAGACTGTGTGAATAGCATTGTGAATTTTTCAGGAGCGTTATGAAAAATGAATGTTAATTTTGTTCTGAATATTATATTTTGCTCTCCAAGGATATTCCTGGTCATTTTATGAGGATAATATATTTGAATATGTTATTTACCTTCATTTAAATATTTGATAAGTCATGTTAGATATCACATGTTTTTATTAATTTTAATTTTTTAAATTCATATTAAAGTGTTTTGTCATGCACAGATACAAATCATTGTGTTATATTGTTATCATGCAATACTGCAGCATTTTGTGCTAATTGCTAGGGCTGCTATATGTTGAAGTCAGAAGGAGCTGTTAGTCCACTTGGTCAGACCTTTCATATAAAATAGTCCAGAAAATTTCACCCACTTACCCCTGTCTTGCGTCCAGTAATTTCTGTTTGACTTAAGCAAGCCATCCAGAAAGGTGTATAATCTTATTCCTGGCATAAAAGAGGGTGACAAATTTGCCATTTCATTGACTGTTCCATGCTAGATTATCATCACTTAAAAAAAAGTGAATGCCCAAATCCTGGCTTGAATTGATTTGAACACAATTTCTGAACCCTGGTTCTTGTTATTACCTTTGCCTCTAGATTTTCCCACTCTGCAGACATTTTCTTTCCATTAATGTCTTCAGACAGTACACCCACGTTACTCTCAGGCTGAGTTACCATGATTGACATGAACTGATCTGTCCCCCTCCTGCCACAAAACAGAGAATATTTTGTTCTTCCCACCACATTTTGTGTCGTGTTTTTCTTCTGCTTTCTTGGTGCTAGTCCTAATCATTCTATTTTTGCTAAATTAGTTTTCAGGTTTTGAGAGCAATATATCAGATCACTTCCAAATAATTTCATTTTTGTTCTGAGCTTCTTCAGATGGTCAAGTTTGAAGCTGACCTAAGATGAAGTAGTTTTAATCTGTGAGATAATCTGGACCACAGGTAACCAAGAAATGTCTGTGATCATCTGGTGTGCAAAAGCTTTCTACATGCACATGGAAATGCTATAGCAAAGCATTCGGTAATACCCAAACTTTCTTCCCTGGGGCACCAATTTCTGGATACATCTCCTGGGGCTGAATTTCACTGATAAACTTCCCCAGGCTAAAGCAGACACTGGCATATTCTCTCAGTCTGCATGAAACAAATTCTGCTAGGAAAGTAAATTACAGCACCTGAAGTCTGCCCTCTGAAATGCCTGTCCTCCTTCATCACCTCCAGAGGCAGCCCCAGGGGTAACTGCCCTCACTGAGCTTCCAGTTCTTCTTCGTGAACATCATCTCTTTACCCGTGATTTTGATCTCCTCCTTTTTCCTGAGCCATTACCTGCCTTTGCCACCAACAATTTGATCAGCTACCAAACTTTGCTATCTGTCACGAGGTTTTATTGATCCATCTTCTGGAGAATTTTAACAACTAAGTTATTTCAATTACTTTGGGAATTGCCTTTTTTTTTTTTTTTTTTTTTTGGTGAAAAAGATAATGGGAAGCTGATCTCCCCCGTGTTCTGCAGAAGACAGGAATGTCTGAACATGGCTTTCCCTGCCCTTGCAGGTTTCAGGTCGGCTGTAGAAAACGATGTCAGAGTTTTGTCTGAAGTTTTTAGAAACCTGAAGCAGGCAGAGGTTCCATTTTAGCTGCTTGAAGCAAATAGCGTGGCTGTTGATCAAGTATTTCCATGGCCTATGGGTTAGATTAGCTAGCTATATTAAAATTGTTATAAATAATACTGAACTATGTAATATAGGTATATTTATAAGTAAATATACATTGAATTTACATTTAAATTCGTATTACTTTATTAACATGTATATCAGAAGCTTACTACAACATTAAATACTATTGCATTTTAAGGTGGATATAATTCAGTTTTTGCTAATACCTCGAAGCATAAGTTGGGAACTCGTCACATTGAATGCCATGCACACTTCATTTAATTTGTGCTTGTCACTTGATCTGTTTCTTGAGTTTTCTTCCCTGCATTTAGAAGAAAAACTGTGGTGTGAGGGGGAAGGACATTTGTCACGTAATAGTAACAGATTAAATTAATGCTTTCGAAATATTTTCAGGGCTGTAAAAACTATGTATTTGGTAATGTCATAAGAGGTCTAATTAGCACTCTTACTTTTACTTCTTCTGCACAGTTAAAACTGCACCAAGATCGCCAGATAGACGTACAAGCCGAGGTACTCATTCTCAGACAGGATCTTTCTCTGCTCCAGCTTTGGCTGCAAGCAAGGAAAACCTCCCAGTGCTTAACACTAGGATTATCTGCCCAGGTAATTATGATTTTGAAATCTGCTGCTCCTTACACTACTTCAATATTGCCTTCTGTTCCCCTGCTTGCTGTCAAATAATGATTTTTACTTCATGCAGGAGCATGAAGTACAGAACCAACACACACGTATTTGTGTTGTATCATATAGTAGGAAATGCAAAACGATGTAGAAGATTCCTGATGGTTTGGCACAACACCAGATGTAGCAGCAGTGTGGCATTTGATTCTGGAGGTTGAAAAATGAAATTCAGTATCTTAGAATCTATAGAATCATAGAGTTTTTTGAGGTTGGAAGAGACGCTAAAGATCATCTAGTCCAACCCTCTGCCATGGAGCTGAACCTGGCAAGGGTTGAGCTGCCTTTCTGCCCAAGAGAGCGAGAGACCTGAAAAGATGACCAATATAGGTAAAAACTGAGATAGAAACACAATCATTCCCTATATGGATTTAATGAATATTTTGTTGATCAGTATGTGGCTTACATTATGACAATATATCTTTCTCTGTTTATTAAATACAAATTCTTTTGGAGTTTTTTCTTTGTTTTTTTTTAATCAGGTTTGAGGGCTGGTCTAGCTGCTTCTATTGCAGGAAGTTCAATTATTAGCAAAATGTTGCTAGCAAACATCGATCCATTTGGTGCTACGCCATTTATTGACCCGGATCCAGATTCACTGTAAGAAATTTTTTTTTCCCAAATGTACTATTTTGCTTAAGTTTGCTTTTCTTAAGCTTGTTTTTTTACTTTTTTGTAATCTTTTTTTTCTTTATGAGATTCTGTTTTGCTGTTATTTGGCAGTAGACCTCAAGATCTGAAAACAGGTTGGACTGTGCCATTTTAGTTATCAGTAGGGCAGAATTGTCTTGCAGCAGCAGAAATAATAGGAGACATTTGCTCACTTACCCCTTGCCCACTGGCTCTGAGAGGAGGCAGCCAGCAGCCTTTCAGAGGTGGGTTTTCCTGCCCAAACCGCTGGTCTGAACACAAGCTTAGCCACCAGCAAAATCACAGAATCATTAAGGTTGAAAAAGACCTTTAAGATCATCAAGTCCAACCATCAACACAACACCACCATGCCCACTAAACCATGTCCTGAAGTGCCACAAGATGTTGAAGCAGGTCTGGGAACTTCATAGTGGAGGAAGAAGAAGAAGAGTGTGTCCTAAGCTGTCACTGCTTCTCAGAACTGGGTGTGGTGTTGGCAGAGATTTACGGATAGTATCTGGGTTGTGGGTGGCGGCCCCCTTAAAACAAAGCACTGCTGTGCCAGCAGCATGAGCCAAACATCTAGGACCAGCATGCCTAAACTCAGTCTGGGTGCTCAGCCTGGTGTGGTGCTGCTGTCTCAGAGCTGTGCCTGGGGCAGCTCTTTCCCCGTATCCCACTGTTATTTTAGGTATGGTGGAGACAGTGCTGGATGGGGATGTGGTACAGTTTCTTCTTTGACCTGTGGGAAGTAACTTGCATGTGCAAAGGAGCTAGCAGCCGATCTGTCTCTTTGACTGCTGTTGTGTTTCCTCGGGAGATTCAGAGGAAACATCTTTTGAGGCCTCTTGGTTGATGTATCTGTTCTGAGAGAGCCACAATCTTGGCCAAAGCTCTGTATGTCCAGGTACTGTACAAATGTACACCTAATTATCTCTTTTTCTTCTAACAGAGAGGGATATTCAGAAAAATGTGTCATGAACAACTACTTTGGAATTGGGTTAGATGCAAAAATTTCTCTAGAATTTAATAACAAGCGAGAAGAGCACCCTGAAAAGTGCAGGTAATACAATTGTCAGTGACAGAGCCAAGACGTTTCTGTTACTTTGCTTTCCTTATCTATTTATTCTTAATTTTTTCCCCATCCTACAACTACAAGGCATAATGTGTATTTCAATATGTGAATCTTGTTTTACCTATTTTCAGAAGTCGGACAAAAAACATGATGTGGTACGGAGTTCTTGGCACAAAAGAGCTACTGCAGAGAACTTACAAGAACTTAGAACAAAAAGTTCAACTTGAGGTAACTTGCTGGTATAGATAATCTTTCGTAATGTTCACTGCATTAAATGTTCACTGCAGGTTTTAAGGACAATAACAGAAATGAACATACACTGAACAGAAGGAAAGAGATAAAGAGTCTTAATCCTTCAGGTTAATTTTAAACTGTCTGAAAGCTTGGCTACACATATAGAGAGAGCACACAGATAATCTTAGTGAAAAATTCCTGACAGAAGAGGGGAGATTCTGAATGTGCGTCACAAGAAGCCCATCTACAGCAATAGAGACTTTCTCTAATAGATGTTTGAGATGATCACACAAAAGAAGCAAGGTATTATCACAGTAACAACAAATGCAGTGTTAATTACCTAAACATGGTTACTTTTTGTCTTTTAAGTTCTAACGTCAAATCGAAGTCTTCTCCATGATACTGGGAACTTAAAGGAGATATAAATGATTACCAAATGCAGAAAAAGACTATGGGATGGTTACAGTTATTTTCACCCAAAGACTATCTGGATTTCGACAGAGAACATACATAATTTCTCTTTTTACTTCATGCTAAGTATTTCATATGGAAGTTCATGATATTTATATGAAGATAACTTTGTAAGTTGGAAGAGTAATTTTAAGTTACTGAAACTCTTTCTCAGTCCTCTGAGATTTAGGAGGATTTTCGTCTGGTAGCAGCAGATTGCTGTTATCTAAGGATTGAGTAATTATCAAGGAATTATGCAGTAGTTAGCGAATATAATGACAGGAAAGAACGTTATGTAAGCTGCAGATAGAATTCTAATTTAAGGATCTTTTGAATAAGATTCAAATAACATTCAATAAGGCATTCAAATCTGACCTTTCCATAATTATTTTTGAATATTTCCAGAAGTAAACCAGCAAATAGAAATTTCATATTTAGTATTGCCTGGCATAATATTAGCCTTATGCTAAAATGTGTGATGAGGTACACGGCACTGGAAAATTAAAAATACCAGTTTCAGGAATTGGAGGCAGACCTCTACTATAATACAAATGGCTGTGCAGCATCTATTAATATCATAGCATATTTTGGATACTGTCACATTTTGATTAAAATGATAAATTCTGTCTTGTTGCTGAGATTTAATCATAAAAAGAGAGCACTGAGTACGTTCTGGAAATAATTTTGCATTTCTCTCTCCTCCTGATAAAATTGCTGCAAATTTTGTCTTTATTTCCTGAGGATTTCTATTTCATTTGTACAATTTTAAGATCCTTCTGTGGGACTGGTAACTTGCAGTTAATCTAGCAACCTTCTTTAAAGACAACTTTACCTGCAAATTCATGATCCCCAAAGTGACATGTGAATCCAGCATTTATGACCCTATATTTCCAAATTGCTTCAAATCCACACTTGTGGCACTGCTTCAGGACTGCACTTTTGACTCCCAGTTGAATGGTTTGAGATCATTGGGCTCACCTCTGCAAGCAGTTGTACTGCTGTCAGTCAAGGGTCATTTCACTGAAGTCTGTAAATTTACTCTTGGCTGTGAGTAGAGTGAGATTGACCTACGTCATCCCGTGATCATGTTGAGTAGGGCTTGGAGTTGCTTATGGGTTTTGGAGGATAAAGAGGTAAGAAAGAGGGAATAAATGGTTGGTCATAGGAGCAACTTCTTACCTGCAAGATCAGCATCCCTAGCCACGGCCAGGGTAACAACTGTGGGGTCAGTCCATTTGCCTTTGCATTTTTGGGAGGAGAGGGAGTTATTTTTACAAGAAGGCAAGTATACAAGTGCTAACAACACCTACATTTAACTGCGTGTTTGTGATCATGGCAGAAATATTCTTGGACGTTTTAAATTATTTTTTTCCCTGCTTAATAGACTCAACTAAATGTGAAATTTTGAAAATGTTTTTTTGAAGAGTCATGGAACACCTCTGCTGTAGACACTAGTGTTTTTTCAGCTCTGCAAAAATTGGTGCTAAGATTGGGGAGAAGAGGTTTGTATTAGAGCTGTATCACAGCATGGATGGAATAGGCTTGCGTCAATCCTATTTATGACTCTCTACTCCCCTGCCAGCTCTGTTGAAGTTTCATATGTTAAAAATGGCTGATTACTTTTATGACATTATTTGTATACTGAATGATCTTTTATCCATTACAGTGTGATGGACAGTACATCCCCCTTCCAAGTCTGCAGGGCATAGCTGTACTAAACATTCCCAGCTATGCTGGTGGGACTAATTTCTGGGGTGGAACCAAAGAAGATGATGTGAGTAGCATTAAGGAGAAGTAACCACCTGGGCAAAACCAGCAATAAATACCATGAACTGCTCTTCTCATTTAATTTTAATAGTAGTAGCATATAGTTTGGATAGCAACTCTTATTCGGGGAGGCTGTTTGAGTTTAAACTGTATTGTCTTGTATTTGATTTTTCTATTGAAACTATATCCCATGATTTTTCACTGTCTGCTGCTTTCTGTCTTGTCTATTCCAGCAAGATGTTCATAATACGGCTTAATGTTTGTTTTTAAAAATGGCTCTATGAGAGAATATTTTTAGAAACTAATTTTATAAAGAGAGACACAAACGGTTTCTCTCTATATTGTTTTACAAACTGCTGTAAATAAGATTTCTCAAAGCATAGATTCCTCTGTTTGCTATATTCTAACAATAAACAAGGTGGACAAGAATAATCACAGTTTATACCTGAATTTTCCTCCTGTTCTTCAAACAGCTTTGGACTAAGGGATGGTGATTCAGAAAATTAGGACTGATGCATCTAGTGACTGATAATTTAGTGGGGGTAGTAATCTGTTTTTTAAATACTGTTTTCAATGAGCTTCTAAAGTATTTTAAGGTATCTTTTTTCCTTTCTTCCTCACATCTCCTAAGGAACATTACACTACACAGATACCTTACAACTTGGAGCACTCTTACTGCTGCCATCCACTTCACGCACAGTGCAACAACTGTAATTACTAGCAGATTATTCTAATTCTGCATGTCCTGACTTAGTGTGTGTGAGGTCTGAATCACCTAAAACTGTAGTTGCGAATTAGCGTGTGATTTTAATGTAGACAATCCAGGACTTTTTGCAAAAATGCTTTTGGTTTCTTGTGAGTTATTATCCTTTGCTTATTTTACATATATATGTGTGTGTATATATATAAAAAAGTCACAAAAAATATTTAAACATGTTTCAATATCCTGTTCTTTGATACATGTCAGAGGATGGCAGTTGTGTTTGTATTTGGCTACGGATATGTAAAGTTTTTATATACTCCATGTTCATATTCATAACTTTAAAGCATCTCTAACGTCTGCTTAGCTCCTGTTCAGGAGTTTATTTTTCTCCCTTGACTGCCTCACTAAGAGAGAAGATCTGTCCTAGCTGTCATACTGGTGTACAGCAAATGTGTGTGCCTTGGAGCAGTTTTACTGATATTCTTAGTCTTCTGGTGATCAGATGTGCCAGCAAAGTGACATGTTTGTTCTGGACAGAGTTAGGAGCATAATTCACTGCTTTAGTGCAGCCTTGAGTGACTGATCATCAGAGGTGGTGGTGGTGGTGGTGGTATGAAGTGCTGCTGGTTCTGCTGATCTGGACAAAAGAAAGATGTTGTCTTGACAGCTGTGACTATTCCAGAAACATTATTGGTGAGCCAAGCAGGGCAGCCGCACGCTAACCAAGTTGAGCTGGGCTTGTTTAGGCATACTTTTTTGGTGTCCAGAAGACAGGCTGGAAACATGACCTGCAACAGGGAAGGAGGGAATTTTCTCGAATGTTGCTCCGTAGAGATTTGTTTGGCTTTATTTAAAAAAAAAAATGTTATCGTTAGTTTTCAGTACAGGTATGGTTTACTGGTGGAGAAACACAGAAGACTGGGTTATGGTTTGCCCATCCTTTTGCTAAAATGGAAACATAAAATAAATGACATTTTACAACTACTTTTTCTTAGCCCCTGCTGAAGTCACCCTGTAGATGTCAGTTTATGCTTGTTAAAGCTGGATCAAGGACTCTCCGTACTTTTTTTCCTTGGAATAACAAAATCGCTGTCATTGCTCTTTTCAAGATCGTCACATGCCCATGGTAAATGGAAGAATTCAAGTGGAGAAACCTTTTGCTTCAAAACAGTCTAGACCCAGTAGAACTGTTTTTTTGTTCTTTGACACTGATCTGCTCAAGACCTATCTGTGCAATCCTGGGATACTCTGAGGGCAAGTGCCACCTGGACGTTGCACTGAACTATGGCAACTGTGCTGTGTGGCCCTTTCCCTGAGAAACCCTCCTCATCCTCCTGGCCAAAGCCACTGCCCACTGCACTGGGGTGAAAGCTCCTGCTGGCTTGGTGGGCAGCAGGGACCAAAGTCCCTCACCCTGTTGCCCATCCTCTCCCTCCCTGAGCCGTTGCTGCAGACACTATCTGGATTACACGGTCCTGGATCTGCATCCTCTTATTCTTCACCTCCAAGAGATCCTCTCTCAGGTGTCGCTGATGCAGCTTAGTCTGTACATGGTGCCAGCTGAGGTATTCTTAGTACCCCTCAGAGAGGTGTTCTCTCTACCCATTAAACTCTTACTGGAGTGATCTCTCTGACTGACTTTTCTCCCTCGTTGCTCCCTATTGCATATCAGGATGAAATGGTCAAGCTTCAAGTGACCTTAGTATGGTATCTCCTGCCAGACCCAGCTAATTCCAGCCTAAGACTTGTCCCGTGGCATGGCTGAATTCCCCTGCAGGTGGCAATGGCACACGTGAGACTTCGTGCACTTCATGGAAGCTCATGGAAATTCAACATCTTGGCTGGATATCAGGATGTTTATTCAATACAAAAGCGGTTTTCATGTTTACGGTGGATAACTGTATACAGCACAAACAAGATCCTCTTCAGTATGAAAGCTGTGTTTAACAAAGCCGAACGTGGATTCAGATGTTGGTTTCCAAAGAATTCAGAGTATAAGAAAATAAGCACCTCTGAGAAAAAAGACACCATTACTCCTCTTAACCTCAAGAACCTCTTAGATATTAAGTACATTAACCAAGCGGAGATTTGAATTGGCCTTTCATCTCGCCTTGAAAAACATTTCTTAGTCTGCATGCTGAAACATGCCATCCTTCCTATAGAAGTATACATCTTATCATTCAGATACTTGAAATGCTATTAGCATTGCTGTTTGAAAATAGAGTTTTCCTACTGTCTGTGGTATCTTACTCCTATGACTTTTGAGAGACAGTTATTCTACAGTAAATAAGTTCGATCATTTAAATGTTGAAAATGAATCTGTAACGGAACCTGTATTTCACTGAACATGCAAACTAAGTACTAGATTTGCCATCAAAACCAGAACGTTTTCTTTTCCTTTCAGATATTTGGGGCTCCATCATTCGATGATAAAATCTTAGAAGTTGTTGCGGTATTTGGCAGCATGCAGATGGCAGTTTCAAGAGTCATCAAGCTGCAGCACCACAGGATCGCTCAGGTTTGTTTCGTACTCGAAAGCACGCGACACGGCTAGCAGCAGTTTGGGATGCTGGCGAGCAGTGGTACTCTTGATGACCACCACCTTATACATTAATAAAGAACTGACATTGTTTAACGGGTACCAGATTGTCTTCAATGATGAATGAAGTATAGAAGCGCTCCATCCTTGAGACAGTCCTGGAGGGAAGCCACAGCTCCTAGTAATCAACGTATTTCAGGTGGCCCATCAGTTTCATTAGTATTTATTGCTCTGTGAAATAATGTGTTTGTTCTTTTCCAGTGTCGGTCAGTAAAGATCACCATACTTGGTGATGAAGGAGTTCCAGTGCAAGTTGATGGAGAGGCATGGATCCAGCCCCCAGGAGTTATTAAGATTATACATAAAAACAGAGCTCAGATGCTAACACGAGACAGAGTACGTTGCAGAAAATGTGTGATGAGATATCGTTACTAACACTGGTTTCTGTAATGATTTGATTAAGTTACAACGTGAACAAAACAGTGCTTGCAAAAATGTTTTATAACTATTTATATAACTTATGTAATTACTTACAGTTATATAATTTCTATAATAAGCTGGATAAAGAATTGTTCTTTTGTATAGGTGACACAGTTCTTTGTTAGCTGTTATCAGTTATATTAGTGCTATTCCTGTATTCTTATTGATATATAATAATAA